GGCCTCCCTTCCCCCTCCTGCGAGAGGCCGCCCTGCCCCAGCCGGCTGGCTTTGCAGAACTTCCGCGGGAGCCTGGGAGCGCCGGTGTGAGCGCGGCGGGGACGGGGGACCGGGGACGGTCCCTTCCCTAGTGACTTCCACTATAGTTAACAGTCTGTTGCACACTCTTTTTAAAAAGTAAATGGATTTGCCACGATTAAATGTCATAACATTTATGACAGAATATAACATATTAACATATTTTAAGCCAAGTTTTAGGTGTTTTTTGAATCTTGGTTATAAACCCAGTTTTAAAGGGCGTTGTGTCCAGCGTCGTGAAGGCGACAGAGTGTACCCATATTTATATTTTTGTAAAGTACCTGTAAGACTGTGAATCTCTGTGCTGAGTGCATGGAAGGGCCGCCCGCCCGCTGCAGCCTCCGCGCTTCCAGGACCCTGCTCCGACCCCAAGGTCCCGCCGTGGGGAGGGGCCCGTGCGCCACTTTCTGTGCTGAAAGGCGCCTTCCCGGTTTCTGTGGTTCCGATTTTCTATGCAACCCCACACCCCTCGTTGTTTTGATCCTGAGAAATAAAAGGGAGGCTGAATTATTCAGATTTAAATGAGGTTTCCCCTGCACGGCAGCGCTGCTGACCCTTCGTGCAAAAATGGGGAGCACTTGAGGACACAGGTGGGTGGAGGCCCTTTGCGCGCGGCTGGTCCGATCCGGGCGGTCATCTGCGGCTTTGAATAAACCGTGTGCGAGAAGAATATATTGATAACGTCAGTGACACCAGCAGACGTTGAGCCGAGGCACAGACCACTCCGAAGGGAGTTCTTCTATACAGTCTTCTCTAGATGCAAATGCCTTTTTAATTATGTTAATTAATGTCAAGACTTTCTAGGCTTATATGGAAGCTGTGTCTGGGTCACGGCATGATCACTTCTAACTGGATAAGTCTGTGCAGCACGTTCCCGAGTGTACGATATAGACCCGTAGCCCAGCGTGGATATTTTATAAATAAATTTTCCATTGATTTTTTTATATGAAAGACATGTCTGTTGGTCCCTGGTCCCAGCACGAGGTGCAGACGAGCTCGGCGCGGGCTCAGGGCGAGGCCGCGCGGTGATGCGCCGTCCGCGGAGCGCCTGGCTGTCCCCACCTGGACACGGAGCCGGGGCAGCCCCAGCCAGCGCCGGTGTCGCGGCCTACTGTCTCTGTTGTCTGGCAAAGCAGCTGAGACCGCCGCGCAGAAAGCTCTGCTCGGAGCAACTCCTCTCACCCAGCCTGAGACGCGGAGGTCCTGAGGCCGCCTCCGTCCCCCCCACCCCGCAGACCCCTCTGCGGAGTAGCCAGGGGCTTCGGCGTCCCTGAGCTTTGTCCTGCAGACGTTTCGCCTTTCCTGAAGTGCTTGCGTGTGACCACTTTGCTCCCACTGCCCTATTCTACCCATGAGGGTGTTCCAGGTGCCTTTCCAGTTGGTTAGACAGGCATTTCCTGTCCCCCAGGATTGGCCTATGAGACCGGGCCAGCTCTGTCCTTAGACTCCCACGGAGGTGAACAGAATATTTGATGGGAACGAGCTCCCTGAGTGCAAGGAGGTGCCTGCCCAGCCTCTCCCGGAGGCGAGCCTTGGGAAGCCCTGCCCTGGGCCGGCTGGGGTGCCACCTTGAAGAGGAGAGTTGCTGCAAGACTTCGGACATGACTGAGGCATCTGGACAGTAAGGGCAGGCCCAGGCGTTATCGGGGGCACCCACAGCTGTGCTGGACCATGCCTCTATTCTCCACCCAGGGTGCTGTTGCACGCAGGGCAGGGAGAAGGACGCCATCTGAGAAACCACGGTGGCATTTGCTAGCCTGCATGTGGGTGGGTCCCCTCCAGTAGCTGGCCCTGCATTTGAAGTTCTCCCAGCAGAGCCTGGGCACTAGGGGCTTCCCAGGCACGTGGCTCCCTTAAGCTCTCCTTTCTGAAAGACGCACTGGGCTGAGGAAGGCTCTGTGTTGCTTGCTGTCTGGGGAGACAGTTTTCTCTCCAGCATGGACAAAAGGAAGCCTGGCTGGGCTCAGCCCTGCATCTGAGAAGGGGTGGGCATGACGGGGTCCCAGCCCTGGGGGGATCCGCCATCTTTCTCTCCAGGTACCATTCTGTGCACAGACAACCCCAGCTGGTGAGGGGGACACTGGGGTGTGGAGGAGGGCGCATGGGTCTCCCTTCACGGGGCAGGGCCCCAGGAAGCAGGCAGACACACACTAAAGCCTTGGCTATCCTTTCCACCTTGTGGGGTCAGAGCTATAAATGAAACCCCAGCTGGGAGGGCCCAGGCATTCAGAAACAAGGAGGACAGGCTGGGAATGTTGAGCATAGCCCAGGTCTAGTCCTTGGAGGGGACCCTGGACGCACCTTCCTGGAATGAGCAACCAGCCTGGGCCAGCGCAGGCCTCCCAGGTTGCAGAGGCACACACTGTGTGAGGGGACAAGGACTGCTCTCCAGATGCAGCCAGGTCAAAGCTGCTCTGTGTCTCCAGTGCCCAGTTTCCCTCTGGAGTGCAGTGGCCTGTGGCCTGTGCAGGCTCCTCTTCCAGGCCCTCTGTGCTCAGCAGATGGATAACTGCTGGGGGCACTGGTGTGTACTGGCAGGAACTGGTGAATGGAATGGACGGGGGGGTCCTCCCACCCCAGCCAGCCCCTTTATGGCCAGGATGAGAAAGAAGACATGGGTGACCCAGCCCACACACTCTTCCCTGGCCTCCTAGGTCTGTAGGTATGCATGAGGCCAGGCAAGGGTCCTAGCCAGGGGCACAGAGGACAGCCAGGTGGAGGGGTACATCCGGCAGGGGTCTGGGCCACTGGAAAGCCCTGGGGTGGCTGCCTGCAGAAAGGAGACAGACCAAACGGGCAAGCCTGAGGCACGTCCCACTTCCCCCACCAGGAGGGCGCTGGTCTCCTGTCCAGCAGTTCCTCCCTCCGATGTGACCCACTGGCCGCAGGAAATGTCTACTGTTGGAACGGATGCCCAGAGAGACCAGGAAACGCAGGAAGATGGGCAGCTAGGAGGGGTGTGATGTCCAAGGCCAGTGGGGTGGGAGCCAGGACACAGCCAGCCAGACAAGGGCGGCAGAATCCAGGTCGGAGGCACGGAAGAGAGGGAAAGGGGCCGCCCACTGCCGGAAGACCTCCTAGCCCAGCACAGGGAGGGCAGAGGGGCGTGCACACAGAACACAGGGGCACAGCTGCCCTCTGACCTCGGGGCAGGCCAGCTGCCTCCTGATGCTCCTGCGGAGCCTGCGAGGAGGAGGCAACGTCCACCTGGGCCTTGAAGGACGGGAAAGGAGGCCCCGCGCCTGGGACAGCTGGGAAACAAAGCCTGAGGCTGGAACGTGAGGGCGCCGGCCCCAGGAGGGGCCCCCGAAGATCTGGGAACCTCCACAACTGCTCCTCGCGAGGCCTCCAGCCCAGACCCTCCTGGGGGGTGGGGGGTCCCCGGGAGGCCGCCCTCCCCCCGCCTCCCGCACACTCCGCGTCTCCCGGCCGGGCCGCGGCCACCAACAGCTCCCGCGCGTCCGGCGCATTCTTCTGCTTGGCTGTCCTTCCGACCGTCCCCGCGCGTCCGTCTGTCGGTCTTTCTTCCCTTGTCCCCTCCAAAGCCGCGGCCCCCATTCATTCCCGAGGCCTCTGCCCTCTCCTCCGCGCGGGTCCCCGCTCGGCGAGCAGCTGCTATGCTAATGAGGCCGGGGGCGGGCGGGGGCACGGCCGGGGCCGGGGGCGCTCACAAAGGCCCG